GACCACAGTCAGCGATCGAAGTGCTTCTTCGCCGATGGCACTGCGGCCGGTCTTGTCAGCCAAAAGAACCGCCGGTGAGGCGTCGTCGAGGATGGTCAGGAGACGTTCACTGGCATGCGAAGGATCCAGTGGCACATATGCACCGCCAGCCTTAAGGACACCAAGGATCCCAACAACCATCGCAGGTGAACGCTCGACGCAGAGGCCAACAAGGCTGTCAGGCGCGACCCCGAGGTCGATGAGCTGGTGCGCAAGCCGGTTGGACTGAGCATTGAGTTCCCCATAGGTCATGGCTTGGTCCTCAAAGACAACGGCAATAGCATCGGGAGTGTGGGCGACCTGATTCTCGAACAGGTGGTGGATGCACTGCTGGTCGGGGTATACGGCGGTCGAACTGTTCCATGTGTCGAGCAGGAGTGTCCGCTCGGCCTGCGAGAGAATGTCGATTGCAGCAACAGGCTCGGTGGCCTTGGCCGTCATTGCCTGGAGGATGGTGACCAGGTAGCCGGCATGTCTTTCAACTGTCTCGGCGTCGTAAAGCGACGCAGAGTAGTGCAGCTCTCCAGCGATCTCGTCTCCCTCTTCCTGCAAATGGAGTCCGAGCTCGGGTTGAGGAGAGTGAGTCTCGGCTGGGGCCTGCCAGAGATCTCCATCATGCCAGCGGAATAGCAGCTGGAACGACTGTGCATGGCCGTTCACATGGCCGTTCGTATGCTGGGGCTGCACGATGTCGATGATCGTCTGGAGGGGGGTGTCCTGGTGTGCACGCGCATCAAGGAGAGCCTTGCGAACGCGTTCGAGCATGTCGACAGTGTTCACGTCTCCAGCAACATGGATGCGCAGCGGCAGGGCACTGCCGATGTTGTCGCCAGGGATGGCAATGAGGATGTCGTCTTGGTTGGTGAGGCGCGACATCACCAGGGCCCATGCAGCCAACAGGGTTGTCGGTAGGTTCACGATACTGTTGTCGCTCAGGTTCTTGAGAGCGCGCTTCAGTGTTTTGTCGATTCGGAAGCGGTGATGAGCGTCGGCAACCGGCTGCTTGCCAAAGCGCGGACGATCTGTGGGCAGCTCCAGCAGCACGGGTGCACCGGCCAGCGTCTTGTGCCAGTAGTCAGTCGGGGCTGCGAGGGCCTTGTCCACATCGTCTCGATCCTTGCCGGAGTCGTCCTGGCCCTTGTCGGAGTAGAGGGTGCTTTCTGAAGGCGCCTCAGAGGCGGCAATGGACGAGGGAGTGGCAGCGCCGCTATTACAGGTAAGTATATAGCAGCGTTAAGACCCTAGTCCATGCAGTTGCCAAACAATTGCTAGCTATTTACCACATAGTACGATGCATAGTATTTAGCATACCCTTGATCAGCATATCCTTGATCAGCAATTATTGTGTTAAAGTAGTCCTAAGGAATTTTAAGAGTACAGAAAATGGTTAGATGTCAACAGATGGTCCATGTCGAAGTGCTGAGATTCAGATTAAAGTTCAGGGATTCAGGGTTTAGTGTCCTGCAATGCAAAGATTTCGCCGTGAGCAGGAGGGGATTACAAAACTGCATCCTGTCATGCACACAGACAGGGCCGTGTTACAGTTTATAATTACCTGATCGCCACTGCTGGCAACAACGGGCTCGATTGACACAGTATTATCTCGAGCCTCCTGAAATATCATGCGTATTTCAGGATTTGATGTGGTCAGTGAATGCGTGTTCTCTGATCACTTTTTTTTTTTTCGAGCAATGGATGGTCTACTTACAGGTGAGGTCAAAGCCGTTTCAGGGACATAAGCTCTCTCTCTGTTGTTGGCACTGAGGACGCTGCTTGTAGTGCCTGCGACACTGGTCTTGTTCCTAAAACCCGCAAAATAACCAGCATGTTAGTTTATAGTTTACGAGGGGCGATTGCCGCAGGTGTTGGAATGTGCCAGTGTCTGTCGTTGCGAGTGGGCTTGAGTGTTTGCGCCAGGGTTGGGTTCTGTGGAATGTTTGTGCCACTGTGTGCTCAAAACATACTTTTCGTTGGTCAGACAAACGCTGTCGAGCATCTAGGTTTGAGATATTTGTAAATGTAAATGCGGTACAAAGTCAGCGGCCGAATGCGTGGTCCGAGTGCATTGCGCATACTTGGGTAATAATTGCCCGTCGCCAGAGCCACTGAAACTGGATTTGAAGCGGATCAGGAATGGGCTATTTCACTGGCACCACCATCGACTTTCCGCCGAGAAACGAAGCTTACCTGGTCCTTATTAGTATTCATGGTGATTATAAAGTGTCGTTGATATGTCTTTGTGGATAGAGCGGTAGAATAATTAAGAGATAAAAGAAAGCACTCGTGGGTATATGTTTGTGAGTATGTGAACGAGTGCCCGTATAGAAGTATAGTAGACGAGGTGTGAAGGGTTTGATGGTCAATCTTAGGAGGGGAGAAGAGAAGGAAGCGTCGTTTTGATTTCAATCTTAGAACCAGGGGTCTGAGAGCATGCAGACCCGGGAAAGGCGTTAAGGAGCATGCAGACTCGGGAGCATGCAGATTCGGGAGAAGATTTAAGAAGCAGAACTATCCAGCAGCACACAGAGTATGCTAAAAAAAGGGTTTGCCTGTAAAATCCGAACCTTGTCTCTTTTCTTGGTTCGGATATCGACAACAGCTTGGTTGTTCGAATATTGGCTTTTACCGGTTCATTGAGGCAGAGTTCTACAACTATTTCTACACCACCAACTACCAAACTATCAGCCACTCCTTTCAACTAATCAGCACGGAAGATCATCAGGATCGGGCGATCCAGGCGGATAGCCACCTTCCCTCGTCCAGCAACTCCTCCAATCTAACCGATGTAACCCAAAACTCCTACAGAATGAAAACCCTCATCTTATGGAGAGCTGGACTGCGCTGCACTGGTTGTATTTTGTCGGATGCGCACAACCAGAAACTTGTGCTGGTCGATTTATTTGGTTAGACCCTGTCAATTATGAATATTTTGTTAAGCAAACCCCCTGTAGTTGACAGGGTCTAACCAAATAAATCAACCAGCACAGGTCTCTGCGCACAACCCTGTTTAATTGAATTAGGAGGCTATTCTGAAATACATAGCGGTTGGACTTTATGACGAGAAGTCTAACAAAAGACAGTATCTATCGAATCCTTAGACTACATGAGCCAGCATCGAATCTGGGCTGACTTTACAGCTGATCGGTCACTGATTACTACAGCAGCGATACAACAACAGAACTTCGGACGACAACGTGAAGGTCCAAAGGAACTGCATACTTCCGATTGGCCGACGCCAAGGACACGACACAGCTTGACCGATGCAGTAGTCGGTCATGTACCGCTGAGATCAGGTCCCGGGCTCTAAAAGGCCCTGAGGAGCAGTTCATAACCCAATATGACGGATGTTACAAGTATTCGAGCCTCGACACTTGACACCCACACGGCACCAATACATAGATGGAAGATAATGGATGTGTGTTATTGCTTCTACGACTTGGTCGTTCTTTGTTGCGGTCTATTATTTGCTTGCTAATCGGTAGGTTTCGATGTCCTATTTTGCTGAACAGAGGTTTTGACAGAGAGGTCGCGATCAGTACATCGGATCATGATAGTCGGGTACTGTAGCTTGTGGACTTGGCTGGAAGACTCGTCGCGCTTTTCGAAGCGGATGTGGACACAACGAAGGATTGCTAGCCCTGTGACATTGCTGTTTCATGAGACTTGGGCTTTCATATGTTCATAGCGATCAAGACTATCTGGTGGCCGACTCGTAAAGGAAGGGTGCTAAAATACAAGGCTGATCAACTCTTGTCTGCGCTCAAGCTTGACCAGCAAGGCTCACAGCAGTGGGGGCCGTAAGTCACCGCGACTGACACGATCGTCCCTTTACTTCGTGTATGACCGAACACTAAAACAATATGGTTGAGTTTGTTCATCGTGGTACTCAGCTTCTGTCTCTCATCCTATTGATCTAGCTATCCTAGCAAGGGACATAGTTCGTCAGTGCGAGAGGCGAGGATCATGCAATTTTATTCCACAGGAAAGCTAGCGATATCGGCAGTCAGAATGGCCGCCGGAGCCGCTACAACAATCTCGAATTAGCTGAGGGCCAACAGCGACCAGGAAACACGGGCGCGATCGAGTTTTTCTCCAGAAGAACAGTAATCAGCGCAAATACCAGGACTTTCCCTCTCTAAGGCTCTCCTCGGGATCCGTGTTTCTGTCGGAGGCGGACATCTACCGTGCCTTGTGCAGAGATGTCCGTACAACGCCTATTAATGCTAGATTCCTTGAACAGTCCACAGCAGATAGCACCGGAAAGTTTGTGATCGAGACCAAGGGCATTCCAATTCAAGGCTCTTTTACAACGGCGATCCCAAAATTTGCAATACACAAGGAACGATTTACACTCTCTCACACATATACGACACGCATTGGGGAAGCGCCCCACAAACCCCCGCGGCTTCAGGCGTTGGCTTCCTGGTGCATAAGGACTGGAGCAAGTATATCACTCGCAGGACACGACACCGTGGACGCGGTATTGCCATTGATTTTGCATTCAGGAACCGCTGTACACTACGTGTGATTAGCGACATGGGTTATGAAACCAAGACGTCTCAAGCCAGCATAGTTGGTAGGGACGCGGCCCTGCCGTGCATGGAAGGCATCTATGGCTTCAAGGCCTTTGCGGACCATGCGTCTCGTGCTCATGTGGATTTATGTTAATAAAAAAAAAAATGTACACTACGTGTGATTAACTGCTATATTCCTAGCGACGCACAGCACCACCCGGAGGGTAAGGCCCTACAGCAATAGCTAAAGCAACAGATCAGTGACGCCGCTTTGGAAAACTATAAATATATCTTGTTAGAGGATTTCAATGGCACCATGTCACCTAGCATCGACAAAAATAACAACAACGGGAGTCACCGACCGGACACGCCCTTATTGCAGTGGGTATCGGAACAACCATTGACGGATGCGTACAGATCGCTATTCCCACTCGAACCCGGCTTCATCTTCGAGGATGTCAGTCGCATAGACATGGTTTTTCTATGTCCAGAAATTTTACCTCGTCTCTTCAATGCGGAGGTGATCGATTTACAGGACCATGTTAAATCGGATCACCAAGCCCTGGTAGTGTCCCTAAATCTGTACGCGACATCGCTTCTTGGAGACACATCGGCTAGCAAGTGCAGGAAACCTCAAGGCTTTCGGTTTTGTTTCCATGAGACGTCGAAGGAGGAGTGGACAAACTTTGTAGAAGAAACCACGAGAATATTTTCCAGCAGCTCAAACTTGGCCAGGTTGGGTATTAGGGAATTGAACGACAATGACATGGTCCCGAAGGAGGCCCTAGTCCGAACCAACCTGGAACGCACATGGCAATTTTATTTGGCCTCTTTGATGAAAGCAGCAAAGGCGACGCTCCCAGGCAGAGTGATAGGTCGCACCGGTTGTCGCCCAGAGAGAGAAGCGAACATAAGCCAATCATCCGTTCCTTATCCAGCCTCCAACAAGCAGCCAAGAGAATGAGACAAGGATTTTTTGCTGCTCTGGATGTAGTCAGCCAGTGGAGGACAATATTCGTTAATTGATCAAGCATCAGTCTGCAGCCAGAAACCATCATGCATGGACTTGTCAACAACGAACGAAACAATTTATTAAGCAGTGGGAAGAAGTGGAATGGCGATCCAGCCTTGCTATCATACATGAGGAAAATCTGCCAGGGGGTTTTTTACCAGCCTTGCGGATTGCAACCATTGGTCCAACAGGATCAAGAAAATCCATGGTATGCTGCCAACCATGCAGTACATGCACAGATGAAAGCCGAATCTGTATACCGCTGACGGATGCCAAGTGTACCTTACCATGGTGGAGTGGTGGAGGATACCCAACACCTCTGGGTCTGCAGAGCCACACAGGGCCGACGACAAGAAGAATGGAGAAGGACACTTGATGGTGTTGTAAGTCTTGGACATACCTTGGCGGATAAGGTGAGGAAAAAGTGGTTGCGCGACATGGAGGAGGCAATCAAGGATGGTCGACAATTCAGACGCACGAACCGAATTTTACCGCGTGCGAGTTAGACACCCTTTGGTGGAGTCTGCGTGAGATCCGGGGAGTGGAAACGATGGTGGATACGCGGGATGATGACTGGATAAGACTGTTGGAGGAGCGGCGAGACAGGGACAATGGTGACGAGGACAGAGAGAATGACCGCGAGGAGGAAGGAGAAGAGGTAGGCAGTCAAGAAAACATACAGCATGAAGCACCACCCACCAGGTTCTGGACAACGACGGACATGTATCACGGACTCGTAGCAAAGCCCCTGATAACGGATTGGGCGCTGCTCTTGAAGACGTCGAAGAGTATTACGGCTTACCTGGTTGGACGTTTTGTAGAACGAATTGAGGCTTTTGGCCGAGAGGAGCTATGGAAAGAGCGATGTAGTGCCACAGTGGCATGGGAAAAGTCCAAGGACATATGCGCGAGGATGAAGGAAGCTGGGGTCTAGATAGGAGGTGAGGCCCAGGGTTTTGTGAGACAACAGCCTCAAGAGGAGTTTACGACAGCGGCAAGGAGGAGAACAGACAGCCGCCTAGTGGACCATCTCTAGGGAAAGGTGATGTTGAGAGAGGGTGGAGGATATAATTCATATTGGCCCGTGATCTTGACTAGAAGAGGGCCCATCGGACCCCGATAGGTTGCGTAGCGGTTTTGAGCCTTGGCTCAAGTATTAGAAACCATGCGACCCAGAATGTGCATCATAGGTATTTGGTTCATCATCTTACATTAGGTAACTATCGGCCGGCAGATAGCCCAAGCCTCGGGTTAGACAATGCAGCCAGGGGTACTCCTGCACGCCTGGGGGGATCTGGCGTCGATATAAAAAAAAAGTTTCGAAGGGGCCAAAGCTACCTCACTCACCTGCAGCTCCTTATATTTTTTATTTTAGTTTAAATATAATATTTTTATCAGTTTCAGCAGTTGCCCCTGGTGTCTCAATCGTGAGTGATGACCTCAGAGGCGGTGCTTGTCTAAGGCGGTGCTCGTTGGAGGCACTGCTGAAGACTACACGAGTTCTGTCTTGAGACTTGACAGATTGGCTGGTTCTAGACCAAAAGACTTGAGCGAAGCAGGAACGTGATGCGACAATATCTTTATTCCGACTATGTATCTGGGGCTGTCTGTGGCATCCAATGATTGGAACGAGTCTTTATTAAGAGCACAGTGCCTCTGAGACTGGACTATCTCCGATATTTCTACTCTCTCATACTAAAGCTCCTGACAATAAGTCCCGAACGAATATAGATTTGAATTGGAATTGAATATCCTCTTTTTTGGTCAGATTTTGTAGGAGAGATCAAGGACCCCTTAATTTAATTTTAATTAAGTACAAGGAGTGTCAGGCAGCCTGAAATGTGATTGATTATAAATCTATGAAATGTGATTCCTATTAAATAAGCCTAAGGTATTCTAAAATATATTTGTTCGGGACTTATTGTCAGGGGCTCTACAAGGCACGACTTGCCCATTATTAATAGACTAGGGCATCTTGTTTTTCACAGATATCATTTCCACATACTCCGCAAGCGTAGAAACATGCTAGGCCGAGATAGATCATTGGTTGCGAGTAATGGTAGTCGAGTATTAAGAGGAAAGTATAGGCACCACATGGAGAGAGCGCAGGGTACATGCAGAGGCGAGTGTAGCACTGTGAGACTTTGGGATAGGCAGTTGGATGAGCTGGTCGCCGAAGCGATATGAGGCTGGGGATACAAGAGATCGCGATGGGTGTGGCAGTAAGCAGCCTTCCACGCGTACGAATGGCATAGCACGAGGGCGCAGTGTGCGCAAGTCATAGTTGCGGATAGGGCTATCTCGATGTGGGTGTAGACGGTTTGTTTCTCTTTATTACAATATACAGAAAGCGAACGGCGTGGGTCTGAGTATACGCTTCCTACCTTTATAGTCTTATAGGAGCAGGAACCAACCCCCGAGCGCAAACGTTTCAGTCTGAATGGAGGGTCGTGATGTTCCCGTCAATGACAACAGCAACAAACAGATATATAGATTAATAGATAAGCAGCTCTCTTTTTCGGATGCACAGCTTCTGGGGGGTCGGTCAATGCGGCGGCTCTTATGCTCTCATGCTCTTTGTGTTTTCGAAATTTCTGAATACCCGCCCTGTCTCCTGTCCTTTCTCTCGGGAGGGATCGCTTACCCCATCCATTGATGCACGCCGCGCCTGCTGGCCTGTCAACACGCCGCAAATATATTATTGCTCTAGGGCGATGAGTAAACGATGTGCGCCCGCCGATCTGACGGAGTTTATACATACTGTGCATTGTCCTTCTGACATTCCGTGCTACTGCAGCATGCGTCCTATACATCCCCATGTCCGCTGTCCTCTCTGTCTCTTCTCCCCCATAGTCGCACGCCGTCGGTCTCTATTCATTCTATTTCCCACATGCATGAATAAAGCACTCTACGTAGGCCTAGGGCTGTACACCGCCAAATGAAATTCTTCGTTCGATGCTGAGACAGGCGCAGCTCCGTCCAAAATAGAAGGAACTATCTTTACTGTCCCCAAATTCGACCTCGGGTGAGTTGCTTGCAAAAGGGGCTATGAGGGCAGACAGTACAGCGCTGGATGCATATACGATGCTATGTCTGTGAAGAGCAGACAAGCAACTTGAGCGATGGTGTATACTTGATCTGACAACAATTGAGTTTCTCTGCTAATGAAAGAATGTTTACTGAGCACGATGAACGATAAGAAGCGGATGGGAATGTCGCCATCTTGCCAGAGGAGGCGTCCGTGCCCATCAATAACAGCAAACAAATAAAAAAAAAGAAACCGAAAAAGTCTGCAGAAAATTAATTGAGGCGGCGCCTTTTCTTACTCATAGGCTGTGGTGTGACCTATGTGCATGCCGCAGAGACATCTCAGCGCACGCTTCGATCACACACATGGACTACATCCGTTGGGACTCGCGGAGTAAATGTGGTACGGGTCCTAGTGTTCGATGTCCAGAAACAAATGCGTTCTCATCTACTGATTAAGCAATGCTGTCAAGGTTAGGCTCTTCATGCATGCTTAGTGCGGCCAAGCCCGCCGCGTCCCCCTGACCGCTGGGTTGTTGGGCAATCCCACTGCTCTATTTCCTTCAGCCCCCGGTGCCCTAACCTCTATGGGCTTTTCCAAAGCAACAAAAAGGCGTCTACGGCGAAGCAGCGCAACTTTTCTCTTTGTTCCTTCTCAACTCTTTTACAAGGATAGACCACTTAGAACCACTAGAACATAATCATTCTCATTCATATACGAATTACACGCACCCTTACACCACACTCGCCACTCATCCACTCGCCACTTATCCACTCGCCACTTATCCACTCGCCACTTATCCACTCGCACACAAGCATACGTTTCACTGCACTCAACGACATTCATCAGCATGACCATTATTAACAGCCAGGTGAGTGTCCTCTTACGAATACAAAATCGATACATTGAGTGCTTCCTCAAGCAGAGCCTTTCTCGGCCGGCGTAGAGCTTGACGACGTGCTGAGGGAACTTGAGTAGTCCTCCACACATGAGAAATGGATCCAGGCCGGGCTCATGAAGATATTTTACAATTGCAATGCGAATGCGAATGTGAAGTAGCTCCTTTCCAGCCCAGGCTGTGCGATACACTTTGGCGATGCATTTGTTTGCTTTTAACCACTGACCTTATTCGCTTTTGTAAATAAACAAAAACTTTATAAAAATAGGCGTACGAGGGTGTTTACTCGGCCGACGAAAAGTATGCGGCATAGCCTGTGGCACTGACCATTTGAAGAAAAAATAGTCTCATACTCTTGTCAAGCTTCATGGACAGGTCTATGTTCTTAGTCCAGTCGTCTCCTCGTAAAAATGCTAATCAACATAAAATAATCCGAACTTAGGAATGACGCTAGCGTCTCTATTGCCAAGTCCAACGACGGAGCCTACTCCCTGGGGATAGCTATGGCCGCTTCTGTAAGTATTAAATCCATAACTTGGGGCGTTACTGCATATGAAGGGCTGTTAGCCGAACAGTTGCTTTTTTTTAACCAGGATTAACACCGACATATCCATCATATTTAAAAGGCCCCCAGCAACACCAGCATAGCCTCGGTCTTTGCCATTGCCACTAGCGAAGATGGCCAGGTAACGTTTACATTTTACATCATGCAGGGGATGGTGATATTTCGCGAATTGCATTGATTGTACTGATCGCAAAATTCTGTCTATGTACACTGCGTACAGGATGTGAACGTTTGGACTCCCCTGGTCCACAGTAATGCCTTTGCATTCCAAGATACCAAATCCTCGTACAAGAGCGAGCATGATCAGGTACGAAGGTCGCAGATCTAAATTCATGCTGCGATGCCGCTTCACCGCGAGCAAACTTTGAGTTGATCATTTTCTATATTGTCCCACTAGAAGATT